TGATACAGAAAAAAATTATGACGTCTGAAAAGGTGGGGGGTGCGTCCGCACCCAAAGCACCTACCCTAAATGATGTTGAAACAGAAGCCTAGTGCTGACGAAATTTTTTGATTTTTCAAAGAGAGAGCTTGTAATTGATGGATTGATGAACAGTTAAGAAAAGAGAACCTTGAAAACAAGATAAAATGAAAAATTCAAGCAAAAGAACGAAAATAGAAAATGAAAGACAAGCCCAAAGCTCGGGCGGAGAGCGCACGAAAAACCCTCATGGTTGTTASTCCTCAGCGGTAAAGAGACGCAAAATAAAAACATGACAGTAAAAATAAATAACTAAAAAAAGAGAAAAGAAAAGCTACGAGAAAAAAAGAAGAAACGAAAAGAAAAAAATCTTTTTTTAATTCTCACTAGCCGGATTCGATCCTTCGAGATCATATGTTCCATCGAATGGCTTGGAACTCAGCGCATTAACGACCCGCGMCACAGGACCACGCTCATTTACATAATAATAGACTACTTGGCACTTTCGCCGAATAGACTACCCCAATTTGACATTAGATTTTCGATAGTTGCCTGGTTAGTGCAAGGGGTTATCCATCAGTGTCTAGGGGCCGGATAGCTTCTCCCTCACTGGCTTTTTAGTTAGCGCAAAGTTAGGACCAATTATCGGGATAGCATGGAAGAGCCGAAATCTCTAACCGGAGTGTAAATCGATTCGACGCCTCAGCTTCAAAGAATGTCTCGGGGGAATCGTCCCAACCTTTTTCGATTTTCTAGGCAAGGGTTCGAGTCTCAAAACGGTCGTCGACTTTTTTCGTTTGCTTCTTTTTTTCGTTTACTGCTCGTTGCACTATCTTTCTGTTTTCATTTTTTTTTAACCTATTATCTTATGCTATTTCTGTCAATTTGTCAGCGAAGGATTGTAAAGTATAAACGATTTTCCTAATTTATGAGCCCCTCCCAGGGGGGGTATATGCTCCCTTGATCCCCAGTTTTTTTTGCATTTTCTCCCTTGATCCCCATAAATAAATTCTAAAGCTCCCCAAAATAAATTCGAAATCTCTCCAAAATCTAAAGCTAGGCTCCTTGATCCCTGAAAATAATTTGACGATCTCCCCAGTTCCCTAACAATAAATGACCAATCTCCCTTGCTCCCTAAAACCCCTGGGAGAGGCTCATTTATAATGCCCCTTGCTTGGACTAGTCTTCTTCTCGGACATACCAGGAACGCCTGCCTGTTCTTAGCGACGCTCAAGTTTCCGAATCAGCTCATCAGCGCAGCTCTAGTTGGCATCAAATTCATCCACGTTTTAAGGTGATTTTTTCGATACTTTGGTCTGAATTATATTAGAAAATATCGTCTTGAGCTACTAAACTCTTTTATGAAAGCCGTATATACAATAGACAAGATGTTTTCTACGTAAAGTTGCTGTTACTCTTGTTCTATCGACTCCTTGTGAAATGTGAACATGAAGATCGATTTTGAATTTTTGTCGTTAAAATCAAATATAACCTGGGAAGATGATGACTTATCACCGAATTAGTAGGTTTAGATTTGTGTTAACTTAAAACACCTTGCTCTGGTCCCTGAGGCTTATCTGTATTTCTTTAGTATTTTTGTTTACATTTCCTTCTATTGTTGAAGAACCAAAATTTGCATGAGAGTGTCATTTTACTAGTACAACTACCAGAATGCTTGCCTTTGGAGATTAGTGAAGCAGTAGGGACTGATTACATAACAAAAGAAACTCTTCAAAGCATTCTGGTACAGAACCTCTATTTAAGCGGCCCTCTATTAAGCGGTCACCCTCTATTAGACGGTCACCTATTAACTTCCCGAAATTTGACTCTAACATTTACTGTAAACTTGACTTCTATTAAACGGTCACCTCTATTAAGCGGACGCGGTTACCCTTTTGACTTTCCCAACTGCGCATTTTTATTGTTATTTGCCTTTATTAAACGGTCACCTCTTGTAATCAGGATTAAAATCAGCTGAAGGAACGTGAAAAATATTACGAAAACATGAAATGAAAAATGACAGTTTACAATGTAATTCTGTAGTTGCATTAACAAGAGTAGGCGTTGAATTCTACTGTACTCACAGTATATTTATTTTATAAACTAAAATTATCAACCTTGTATTTAGCGTTTAGATTCCTTAAAACTACAGTACGTGATGAGTTTCTTAATTTTTTCCTTTTTTTGCGATGTAAAAAGCTAAATTCTAGGCAACCTCTATTAAGCAGTCAACCTCCATTAAGCGGTCACTTGGTTTTTACCGAGTGATATATTAGATATATTAGTCCCCCCAATAAAAATATTATGCTCCGCTGTGCCTGTCTATTGCATATATAAAGAAATGTCAAATGTTTCAAAGATAAAGCCTTGATGATTCTGAACATAGTTAGTAGCACTTCTACTAACTATGCTAAGCCTCCAAAGCAATGCATCTGTTTCTGGTTGTTCGCTGACGAAGCATCCGTTTCCGGTAGTTCACTAACAAAACATCCATTTCCAGTAGTTCGCTGATGAAGCATCCGTTTCTGGTAGTTCTCTAACAAAGCATCCATTTCTGGTTAGTTCTCTAATGCTCCACCTCCAACGGATGCTTCAGAGGCTAATCTATGCTCTGAAATGTTAGATATTAGAATTATTCTTGAGTATTAACTCATTGATTATTTTT